TATGTTTTTCACCGTTGTAAACTATATGATACAGTATTTATGTTTTTCACCGTTGTAAACTATATGATACAGTAATAATGTTTTTCACCGGTTTACTGATATAATACGATGATATCCACAAGTGCTAGACAATGTGTTAAACAGGGCATTGTAAACTATATGATACAGTAATAATGTTTTAAGTTTTCGTATTGTTGATATTAAGTCACATTAGATGATGCTATTGTAGACACACTGCTTAATTAAGTAACGTGGTATACACTACTACTAAAACAATGAACAATGATTTAGATGCTAGAAGAAAGTGTTACTAAGACAATCTCTAATCACCTAGATGTTAGGATACGATGCTACTAAAAAATGTGCAATCATATAAATATTAGACAACGACGTTAGGAAGAAGATATAGTCACCTAGATGATAGGCGATGATATATATAGCCACCTTGATGTTAGGCTACGATGTTACTTAAACACCATTTTATCACCTATATTTTAGGATACTCTGTTCCTTAAACACTATGTTGTCACCCAGATGTTGGACGAAAATATTACTTAATGTTAGGTATACACAACTGTTTAAATTAATGTGAGTGTTATGATTCAGATGGTTTAAGTATAGTAGGATTGTTAAATTTAGTTATTTTTAAAAGCGCTAGTTTAGCACAGTTTTATTTACATAACTGTGTACCAATCGTACGTTGTGTTGTTCAACTGTTGTGAATTGGCGCTTGTTATATTATTGCGTCATGTTATCAGAACCTTTTCTCTTTCGTTGTGTTGATTGAGTATTATTGCATCATAATATCTCGTAGTGTATAGAACGTTCTAGGCCTCGGTGAGGCTATACATTCGCGTACAAAATGTAGATCGAGTTAGTTGTGGTAAGATAGAGAGACCTAACCTATGTGGTTGTGAGTTTAGCCACAAATAACGTATAGTGGTGAATTTTAAAGTGAAATTAACACAGGTTGTATTGTAATAACAAAGTAGAGAAGAATAAAGTGTCTTGTCAATTGTATTCTGAAGCAATTGAACCAACCTGTGTGAATTTTTACGAAAAGGAACAATTATTTATAGCTCTGGATACAATATTATAACTTAAGTGAAATTATCACCGATGGTATTATAATAATAGAACAAAGAAGAATAATCCATCGAAGTCCACGCAGGCTGGTTCAGTTACTTTAGAACACAATTGTCAAGACGAAATCGTATATACGTTTCGCTTGTTTTAATATATATTATTTTAAAACAAGTAGTCTGTGTGCTGTTTGTTTATTGTTGAAATGTATCGCCAACAAGTCACAGGGACCTACTTTAAAGAATCTGGCCCATACGTACAAGAAACTGACACTTAAACACTATGTTATCACCTAGATGTTGGATGAAAATGTTACCAAAACATTATTTTTCTAATGATTAGTAAATTATTATATTTCTTTCTAGATGTTAATTAGGTTGAAGAATAATAATAGTGTTACGAAGTCAATACCAAGAACATCTTTGAATAATGTAATTTTGAATTATTTATTATTTTAGTTTTGTAAATAGAAATACCATTATTTTCTAATAACATAATAATGTGAACTGATAAGTTTATAATAAATATTTATTTTGTTACAGTGAAGATGCTTACAACAGTACATAGAGAAATAGCATTCCCTGGAAAACCGGATAACCTTCATGACGTCACTAAACTCCCTTTATATAAATAACTAAATCGATTCCACCACCATCCCCAGTTTGCCCCTGAAGAAGAAAGGTGAACCTTTCAAAAGCGCTCAGGTTGTAGGGTTTTTATTCATTTCTATCATATTACATCCAATATAGTTTCATGTTTGAATATCGTATTGCTTCTGATTACTTTAATTTTCTGAGTGTAAAAAATAAATAAATATTACTTTTGTTCATTTATTTATTTTACGTTTTAGTTATTTCTAAGATAATCTTGCTTAATATATTTACACCATTTGATAGCAAATACATTACAATGTTCACGATGTTATAAAAGTTGGAACTATAGAAAGTAACGAAGTCTACACCGACTCACTTTACTTCCTCTTCCTCTTCCTCCTCCTCTTTTCCAGTACAGTGTAGCCGATGGCAAGAGTGTATGTGAAAAGGTGTTAGGGATATTTTACTTTAGAAATGGATAAATATATGTATATTTAAAAATTTTACTTAAGTGTTTAAGTAAAATAAAGGTGACACCTGGAGACTGATTGAAAATGATATGTTATGCTAATCAATTCATAAAAACAGGTATGGAAAATTATCTTAAACAAATAATAAGTTTTAGAAAATTCAACGTTCACATTACATGAAAAAAATAAGCAAAGAATAAAGAGAGATCACTGATTCCAGGTTCTAGATTAATTCCGAAAGGTTGAACAGTGTTTAGACTATCAATCCAATAAGCTTCTTTTATTTATCTATCTGTTTAACATGTTAACTTTCTAGTTGTTTTATGCTGTTTAACTTTAAGATTGCATTCTAACATTTAGTTTTGCTAAGCTTATATTTCTGAGCACATAAGAGTTAAATACTGTTTGAAAAGAGAAATTATAAATTCACTTTTATAATAACAAAAAAAAATAACAATCGACTCACCAAAAATGTTCAGTCATTTGTTGTTATTCCTTCTAACAAATTTTCCATTGGAAAAATCAAACACTGAATTTCATCTCTCAACACACAGCATAATCAAAGAAATGTCTAATGCTTAAAACATCTGGTGTTATATGTCTAAAGAGATTTATGTAAGCATGTTCTAAAAGCAATTGAACTCGCAAAAGGCTGTAAGTGGTGTTTTCTAAGGCAACAAACAGCTTTTCTGTGTCTGTAATCCTAATTCAAGTGTATTTGTAATGGTAGGATGTGAAACGAAAAGTAAATCAAGCTCATTAAGATAAGCAACAATCGTATTTTTCTAATACATTTTCAACAGTCTATAAAAAGATCCACAATCAATTTACATGGTCCAGCTACTTCTATTTTGATAAGATTGGCAATCTATCTTCCTTAAGTGAAGGCTAATTTAGGGCCTAGTTAAATCTATGGCAATTACGACGTAAAATAATGCAAAGAAGTTGACTGGTTTATGATACAAATACAGAAACATTTTGGGGGCATCTGATCTAATAATACCAATACTTATAATTTCCACTATCAAAAAAGATACCTATTACATATTTCTGACATTAGGTAAAAATATATACTTTAACTGATCTTCCATTTCAGCTATCTGCATTGCTTCCTCTTCAATTTTTCTTTGATATGCTGCATCATCTTCTTTTTGTCGTTCTCTTCGAGCAACCTTTTCTTCAATTTGATTTTTTAAGTCATTAAATAGTTGTCTCTTTTTCTGAGCTTCTACATTCTTTCTGTCAATTATTTTTTCTACAAAAAATATGACACTCAGTACAACTCTAATTTACATGATGTATACGAGAATATGCTAAAAAATATATATTTAAAACTTTCTATTTAAACTCTTTTATAATATAGTATCTTTGTTTTCTACACAATAACTACCACAAAATATTCTGTGAAAAAATTATATAAAAGTAATGTTATATTTATAAATGCTAAACTGTTTTCCAGTCATTAACTTAGTTTACATAATATTACCTCTTAGCTACATTACTTAGTTAAAGACCTTAAGTATAAAAAAATAATTTTACTAAAAACTTGTAACTTAATCACACAACTTTCACAAGGTTTTAAAAAATATCACTACCTATAAAAGGCTTATTCCCTTTGTCACTCTGTAAAGAATGCTTTCACATTCCTTTTTTGATAATGCTCAACAATTAACATCATTGCTTGCCAACAAAACTATCACCTGATTGTTCTTAGGCCAACTATGGTTTTTATGTTGAATGCTCAATATTCACGTTTATTTGTTAGAAAGATTTGTTTTTGTATTCTCTATTTTTTTTTTTATAACTTCGATGATTAAACTGCAAAATAGTTTAATTCAGAAGTTTTATGACATTGAGTTGTAGCAAAAAAGCAAAATAAAATTTACCAAGTAGTGTTTCAGCTAAGCCTTACATTACATTTATGTATCAAATTAGACTGCAAACAGGCCTGCTATTACTAACGTTATAGAGTCAGTGTTTAAAAAGTTTAAGTTGTGAATAAATGTTAATTAATAAATAATATTTTTGGTATTTGAACACATATATTACCTAATTGGCATTAAAACAAAGAAAAATAAATGCTTATTGCTACCAAATATCTTTTATCCTTTGTAAAGTCCAAAGTATTGAAAATTTTGTAAGAATGTCTGCATTATGTTTTCTACTTCCTGACATAGAATACCGTAAAAAAGGCTCAAAGGTGCTATTTAAGTCTCTTCCAGAGTGCACATGTACATTTGTTCACAATAACATATCATTTTTCTGCATAGTTTTTACTAAAAAGGTGGTAATTCAAGAATTACTTCAAGAATGATGAAATAAGTGAAGAGTAGGTGCATTTTGGAGGTACAGACAAATTCGTTTTGGTTAAATTCTATAATTTTCGTTAATCATTACACAATGGTTTCCCATCTTTTGAAAGCTTTTATACTAGTGTATTATTAAAAAAATTAAGCAGTCATCCTGAATTAGTCCATTGGAGTTGAATATGTGAAAAGGAAAAGTTTCAAAACTTCTGTTGGTATACCTTTTAAATAAAAAAGGGAGTTTGTGAAACATTAAGCTTGATTACAATCTTGATTAAACGGTAATGACTTTTCTATTTTCTTTAGTATATTGTAATTAAACTTTAAAGTTATCCTATACAGAAAGAGATTAACTGTATTGATAAACATAAAACAGCTTTAGAGTAAAACTAAGACAAGGCACAGTTAAGCATATCTTTGCATTTCAGAAATTTTACAAGAATTAAAACAAACAAAAACAAAACAGCTTCAACATTTTTTTTTTTACTAAACATAAAATAAGCTTGTGACTGAAACCACAATGATCAGATAAGAGTTGTTCACTCAAATTACAAGCAAGATGGTCAATTAACCTACTCTGGATTTCTGCAATGAAGGCTGCTCTCTCTTGACCACCCCGCCGTGTTGAAGTAACCTCCTTTTTCTCCTCTTCAGTCTTGGTTAATTGCGTAAGAGAACACTGCTTCTGTTTGGCTTGCTCAAGCATATCAGAACGATAGTCCTGACTTTCTTTTCTTATCTGAGAAACTTTCTCTTCACTAAATGTCAGAAGTAATTGTAAATTTTTCTTTCTGCTTTGCCATAAGAAATGCTTAAAGAAAGGAAAAAAATTACGGTAATTTCAACGTCCATAAAAGAGAAAATATTTAAAATTAATTCCACATACAGAATTTAATAACTGATTATTTGAAAACTAAAGCTGTACATTTTAAGCAAAATCATAACAGACTCAAGTAAACAAGTAAAAAGTCTCATTCAGTTATTTATAACAAAATTCATTTGGAGGTATGATCCATACCTATAATTCACAATTACCTCTACCATTCTCCTTGTTACAGTCTGCAAATGTAATCAAGTCCTAAATACATAAGGTTCACCATCTCATAATGGCAAATCCTACAATACAAATGATTTATATGTTATAAAATTAATTAGCCCTAACAATGTAGATTACACTCAGCCCATACTTTCATTACATCTTTAGAAAAATTACTTCAATGTGAATTCTTAATGAATGAAAGTGACAATGTTACAGTAGGTTTCCTGTTACATTCTATTAATCTGTTACTAAACTGAAATTCTGCTGTACAAAATAGTCATCAACATTATTCAAACTAGTATTCTAAATAACAACAAAAACGTTTACATCATAAAAACAAAGTACAATACACAAGTTCTCTAGTTACCTTTACTTTCCTTTTTTGGAGAGACTCTGGTGGTATGTTATGGTGTTTAATATTATAGACAATTTTGGAGAGACTCTGGTGGTATGTTATGGTGTTTAATATTATAGACAATTTTGGAGAGACTCTGGTGGTATGTTATGGTGTTTAATATTATAGACAATTTTGGAGAGACTCTGGTGGTATGTTATGGTATTTAATAGTATAGACAATTTTAGAAAGACTCTGGTGGTATGTTATGGTGTTTAATATTATAGACAATTAAGAGTTTAATTTTGTGTGTATTATTCAAAATGCCATCTACGAGATAGATGGAATAATATTTTAAATACTTTGTGTGTTAAAAATACTTTTGAATGTTTTTCTGGTTTAGGTAAGTTTACAATGCAATTATTATAATGTTACTAATTTTTTACTCTTAAATATTTAAAATATAGCAAATCTACAATTATTCAATCAAGTTTCACATATTTCTTCAAAAAACCTAAAGTAAATGAAAATCACAAGAGCTTCATTTTTTTCCTGCAATAAAAAAGCTAGAGAATGTTACATACACATAGAGGCATTATCTTTTCATAGTAGTTTTATCTTAAAGTTACAGAAAAATGTTTTATGATCACCCAACTACATGAATAACATAAATTTTCTTACTTCAGGGCAGCAATGCTTGAGAAGATTGAGTGATTTTCCACACAAGAAAATATCTTTTGCCACACTATGTAAAAACACAGGAAAGTTGTTTTCTTCACTGCTATAAAATAAGCTGTGGCCGTTACTCCAATACGTATAATCTGTTTAACAAAATTATTCCAGTAAGCATATTCTCTGAATCAAACTTAAATAAGCAAAGCCAAAATTTCACAATTAAAATGAGAAAAAATATCCATATATTTTTAAAATAAATACCTATGTTAAAATATTATGGTTTAATGCTGTAATGTGTAACATTCCATAAAACTATTTTACACATAAGTAGTTCTATCATAATGATTAGATAAGCTAGTAAAGATGTTGTTTAGCAAGTGACTGGCCCATACCTTTCAAATATTGTATACTTAGGAGTTTCTGTTGCTGATGTTATAATTATCTTAATGGTATATTTATGAATCACTGAAATTTCGATACTAAATTACAAAAGGATTTCTTTGTAGATACACAGGTAATGTCATTAATAACTAGAACATATTGTTTTACCCTGACCAATCTACAAGTATACACACAATGGTAGTCTCTGCAAATAGTTTTGCTATACAGTTAAACGTTTTGACAGTTAATACTTGTAAATAAAGAATAACAAATAATAATTCAGGCTTTATGTTGTCCACATGGCCTGAAAAAATGCCCATTCACTGAACAGTTCAACAAAATTTCTTACAGATTTGTACTCCCCTGTCTCTCCCTCCCTCCCAAGTTTCTGTAACCTAGAACTTTAGGGAGAATGTTAGTTTAAACTAGTAGACACCAGCTATTGTCAGCATCATTCAGAGATGCATATTTTATTAACACTTAAAGACATATTTTACTAAACCCATTAGAAAATAAAAAAATGGGAGGTAGTGTCCAGGTAACATTTCCAGAATATTTAAAGACACAGATTTTATTAAGCCTACTAAAAAAATGGAAGCAAAAGTACTTAAGTAATACTCTCAGAACATCGTTCAATGATTTTAATAGTAAAATATTTACATATTAGTTAATAGATTTTTAAACATTTTTAAACTAGCATTTATTCTAAGTATGTTTAAAACAGCTGCAAATATATAAAAACAAATTACACATGAAAATAGTTAAATATTTGTTGTTCACTACCAAGTTTTCAAAACATAAAAATAATCCTACAATATTCTTCTAAAACTAGGTAGAATTTGAACTTTATCAAATCTCACGCAAACAAATGAAATACTTGCCTCTGGCCATAAGAAACTGGTCATCTACTTGGATGTGAAATTCTCCATATGGATCATTACAATTTCCTTCAAATATCCACTCTTCTAGAAACCTAGAATATAGTTATTTTATTTTGTTTGTTATTAAGTACAAAGCTACATAATGGGTTGTCTGTGTTATGCCTATTACAGGTATAGAAATCCAGTTTTTGCCATTATAACCTTCAGATTTACCATTGAGCCACTACAGTGCAAACATAACTATACAGTTACTATCAATTTATTATCATACTTTTAAAACAGGGTTGTAAAATCATTTAGAAAATTTGTTTTTCTTCTTTACAATATAATATTGGAAATTCCAGTATTAAATATTGGTATCTAAAAACACATAAGAATGAAATGCAAATATGTGAATATAATGGTCATAAGTAGGGATGCATGAGTACCTGTCCAGATAATCGGCCCCGGCTGGTTATTGGACTACTCAGTAATACTCATCTCTGGCCAAGTGTCAAAGTTAAAAACAGCCAAATCAGGGTAATTGAAAATGGCATCTAAAAAAACAAAGACTGACCGCCACTGAAAGTTGGGGATTCAGAGAACAATACAAGTTAATAACAGCCATGGCTTGAGAAGTGGATTTCTGGGGAAGGTAGGGGTTTTGAGAACAATAGGGGTTAGGGTTTGAGAAGTTAAGGCTAGGAATTAATCGGAATAATGATTCTAAAATGTATCAACGTGACTGTTTTTGCATTTATTTTCACTGGCCTCACTTTTGGAAATCAAATGAAGCTCGATTTCCCACACTGGCCAGGACAGCAAGGTGTTATCTCTCCGGACCTCCAACCAATGTAGATGGTGAATGGGCTTTTAGTGCCATTGGCAACATTATCACACACGAAAAGTCAAGCCTTTTATCCGAAAATGCCGAAATGCTACCGTTCCTCAAGTACAATTTAAACAAATTCCAAAAATACAGACATTCTGTAAAATATGGTGCACATTTTGTTAGTTAATTTTGAAAATTGAAAGTAAAACTGTAATGTTCTGTTGGTGATTATTTGGTTAAATGTAATAAATGTCAATTTTTTTTTTGTTTCTAGTTTTTTGTGTATGTTGTTTGTTTTTTTTGGGGGGGGGAGAGAACCCAGTCCTGGTTGATACCTGGACCCAGTATCCAGCCAAATTTTACTACCCGTGCATCCTTAGTCATAAGTAACACTACAATCCTTTTTTTTTGCATTATTATAAATACCAAATATTTTCACATACTATATACACAAATCTCACCTCAGATAAGGCTCACAAGCACATTTCAAGAGAAATACAAGAATTAAAAAGCACTCTTGCCCCCAGTTCATTATGGTTTCTTCATATAGGTGAGATATTAAATCAACACCCTGAAAAAGAAATATATAAATTTTCCATATTTTAATTAACCACTTAGTGATCTCAACAGTTTTACAATAATAAAACTTCATAAAAAAGAACTATTTTTATCTAAATGGTCCAATTTTCATCTGTTTGGTTGTATACTTATAAAGCAGAAGCTTTTACAGAAATGATACATAAATACTTTTGAATTAATGCCCTAACCTGTTCAAATAGGAGAAAAATTTCCTTTAGGGCAAGGACTTTTTACCTGCCTTTATTACTTCTAAACACTGAATATCTCATTTGCCAACTCTTTATAAACTATGTACCCTAAGTATTTCAAACTTTAACACAAAAAACACTTTCATAAGTTACGATGAATGTTTACACATTTGAGTTTCACCAAAATTCTAAAATTAAAATTATTTCTGCAATCTAAGTTCATATATCTAAGAAATAATTCATAATGAAATATACAGAGGGCAGTCACAACTTCTGGAAACCAGTAGATACCTATGGCATTTTCCCACAAAATCTTAACTGAACCTAGGACTAATCATTAAAATGAAAACAACACAACACATATGCTAGAATGAACCAAACCTTGAAACAATTGATGTATGTCATAATACAAATAAAACAGTTAAAAGAACTAATCTATTTTTTTATTACTTTCTATTAATGTAATTCTACATATGACATGCTTAACTTATTACCTCAAATTTGCTGAATTTCAAATCTACTTACAACTGGGAATTGCATCTCCCCACCAGATGGCTCTCCTCTTCTATCTGAATTACAATTACACAAGGAAGCTAAAAAACTATGGAAAAAAATCAGAAAAATGTTTACATTGCAAGTTACTTCTATAATTTAGAACTAATATACAATAAAAAACAAGATACACAATCATAAAGTTAAAAGATTTTATCAAATTGCATATATAAAACAATGATTTTAAGAGGAGCTCTTAAAATTATTTTTACCATGTGACAGAGAAATGGTACTGAATTAACAAAACCTAACAATATGCAAACGTAAGAGTCTCACCTCAGCTGTTGTTGTAAACCTTTAGTGACATGATTTAACTGAAGTAATAACATCTTGTCTTGTTCTTCACAAACAGCTAACACCGAGGCTCTATAACACTGCAAGTATTGCCGAAGCCCTCCTTTAAAAGCCTGAAGTATCAATCCTTAAACAAAAGCAAAAGCATTCCTTCAAAACTCCAAGATATCATACCAATAATTATTTTAAAGATATACAGTATTCCTTCAAACTGCTGAGTACCAACATAATCTTAACAAAACTTAATAAAAACTCTGTAATACTACACCACTTTATAAAAATAATGTTCTTCAAAAAGGCTCAATTATAAGTTAATAGAATGCAGAAACAGAAATTAAATATCTATGATTTTAAAGTAAAAACTTGAAAATTCTTAATAATACTCTTTAAAAACAACAGATCTTGAATCACTAAAGTATAACTCATTCAACAGCAAATACAACTCTATTTAACAGTTAAAATGTGTATAGAAGTTTTAAAAAAAAAGTGTCTTTAAATAAATGTTTACATCTTTTCTTTTACCTCATTTCAATCATGCAATAAAGTTTTTAACTTAAAAATTGGGATGCTCCTTGAAGTACCAATATTTAAATAGTGTGGAACTAGGGGATATATCACATTTTTCTTTCTCTTCTAGCTTACAAAAGTAAACAAATTAGCTTGCCCATATTTTTTAGACATACACACTTCTATAGCACTTGGAGACTCTCAAAAAGAAAATGTGCCTCGTGTAGTACTGACGTTATTTTATGTGCTAGTTACACTCATTCAAGGCAAGTGTCCCACTTTTTTTTATGCTTCTCTTGGATAATTTTGGTAATTTCAGTTCTCTAGCAACATTGCTGTGTTTAAGTTTAGATCACGTGGAGATTAAACGTTTCAAGATTATATCCAGAAACCCTCAGAATGCTGTCCAGTGTTTTCAGCATTTGCATATTTTTGACTTGTTGTTTTTATCATAAATACAGATTTAATTTATTGTATTCACATTGTTTTTTGCAACTCAGTTGAGTTTAGTTTTCAGTTTTAACTCTATAAACCTCTTCTTGTTCGAACTTCTAGTTATTTGCAAGGCTACTCTTAACTGTAGGAAATCAGTGAACCTGAGGATATCAGCAGAGTAAATAAATTACTCTAACACATAGTCATTATTTTTGTTTTCCTGGACATGCATATTGGACCATTCGGTTTTGAATACCGTAAAAAAATATGAGGCTGTCTTAGATAAAATCTTTAGATCCACTGTAATAACAAGTTGAAGTTACACTTTTATAAACAGAATTATTGATTATTTGTAACTATTTTAAATTTACAAAAAAAATGATATAAATTAGATCTCAAGCAACATGTGACTATACTTGGTGATTTTTTTTTATACCTACCTCCTGGATGTCGTAAGTTTAAGGCCGATTCTGTGGCAAATCTTTCTAAACGAAGGTAGTTTGCTCCACTATTAAGAAAGCTTGCCAACATTCTACCTAGACTATCCGGAGTCAGCCCTTCTACATACAAACCTTCTTGTAACGCGAAGGATACTGTACTCTAAAGGATTGGGCAAAAAAAGCATTTGGAACTTTTAATTACCATTTTCACTTTTTATATAGTCAAGACAATATTCCACAAAATTTCATGTTCCTAAAATAAGACAATTTCAGTTAACCCTCTCATATTCACTACAGTTTCTTGTAATGTTACATAAGCACATATACGAATACTGAATTGAACCAACTGGAAAAATTACATTTACCTACATACTCAAAGTAGTTATCACAAGCCATTTTTGTTTGCTTGTTTTTTAGAAAGTAATAGCCAATGAAACTGAAACTAATAGGGTCAAGAGAAAAAGACTTGGTAACAATTTAACTGAGCACAGTAAAAATAACGAGAGCATAATATTCTAACTTTTGTATACTCTTATAGAAAATTAAATCTATTTGTGAAGGTATTTCTTTTTTACATGTAGGTGTGTTTGTGTAAAGCAAGGTGTTAAGTAGGTGCAACACAGTAGCTTATTTACAATACATATATAGTTGATGACTTTGATACTTATTGAAAAATCTTCATATTAAATTCTTATTATTATTCTTTTCAGACACTCATCACTAGTAAATATTTATTTCTTATAGTTGAATAGTTAATTCAATAAAAAACCATGAACACTTATTTCAAAACAACTTTCAGTGTCTGCTTACCTTAGAAAGCTGAAATGTCTTTGATGGTATTCCAATTAAGAGATAAAATATGTCTTTTATCAGTTTTTGCTGTGATATAAGTATTGGAGGAGGTGGTTTAAGTGATGGATTTAAAAGACATAATTCTCGCATGAGTGTCTGGTAAAGCATGTCAATAGCTTTGCCACCAGCTTCTGTAAGGAAAGGCTTCTCCATCACTGAGGAATAGCTGGAACATATACAATCATTAATTGTTAACACAAATACCAAAAGTCAGAGAATTTTCAAACTGTAAAAGGAAGTACTGGTGGTGACCAAACTAAAAATAAATACTTTCTTTTTACTAAGGGCCTAAATTTGTAAAAGATATACGTAACTAATGTTAGAGCGGAAAAATGAAAAACCTTACAAAAACTTTTAAATACATTTTTACTTTTTATCATAATTTTTACAAGCAGAATATTTTGCTTTGAAAATGCCTGTTTAAAGTTCTATTTATAAATTTTTTAGTGTGTTTCAGATAATGGACTTTACACTAGTTGTGAATAAAAGATAATGGGAGACAAGGAACCAGGATTACACATCGATAAAACGAATTTTTTGCTTATTGTTTAAAAGTAGTTAAAGCCACTGTATATATATATATACCATCCTATAGTTTCCCAGGTAATGACTGAGGATGGAGAGCTTTTAAGTGCAGCTTGCCAAATATCCTCTACTCCTGCACTTGATGATAAACTGCTAACAGGAGTCTCAAGTTCAATAAATCCTTCATCTTCAGAGGGGGTTTCTATCACCTGTAATGTGTTTAGATCATTTTAAAACTGTAAAATATTATACGCATGAAAGGTACATATTACATAAAAAGTAACTATCAACATTTAATAAGTATGTAAATAAAAAAATCAAGTAGTATTAGGACTTAAAAAACTCATATGGTTGCTATTCAGGTGTTATCAAAACAGGCAAGAAACTTTTTTTAATTATCAGTTAAGTATATTAATGAAGGGTTTTATTGAAACAGAAAAAAAAGCACATATGCAAAACTCACTGAAACAATCAGATCTGCATTCAAATAATCTCGAAATGGAATATATTTCATCATATTTATTTAGTTTCAAATTTGAAAGGATCACTGAAAGAATTGAAGGGTAAGAGAAAGATTAATGAGTGTGTTCTGGAGTGAAATTCAGAAATTACACTGAATTACCAAACACCCAAATTAATACCAAGTTCACACTGAAACAAGCTAAGTTTTACATTTCACTAACTGAGCATTGTAGGAATTTAGCTTTTTATTTCAACACAACTAGTCTTAATTTAAAACAGACTCAACTTCAATACAACCAGTTTGATCTCACAACAGACTTAGCTTCAACACTAGTTTGAACCCACAACAAACTTGCCTTCAACACAACTAGTTTGAACTCACAACAGACTTCAACCTAACTAGCTTGATTAATTTCACCTCAAATAACTTGAACATAACACACTTAACTTCAACACAACTAGTCTGCACACAACAGACTTAATTGTACCATGACTATTTTGAAAACACAACAGATTTAGCTTCAGCATGAATAGTCTGAAGTCATCAAACACTTTGCTTCTAAACTAGCTTGAACTGATGAACAGACTTAGCTTCAATACAATTAATTTGAACTCATAACAGACTTAGATTCAACACAGCTTATATGACTTACAACAGACTTAGAATGACTAGTTTGAACTCACTGCTTTTTTTCTCTTGATAAGCACACCAACTTACATAACTGAGTAACAACAGATATTAACCCTACATGCAAGGCAAGAGGTCAAAATGTACATGTCATAATCTTTTCTAGTTACATTCAAAATTTAATCAAACTTTATTATCAAAATATATCAATATACCTGGCATCAAAACATAATTTATAATTTAGATTTTAATGTTATAAGTTTTAATTTCTTGGTTTCGAAAGGAAATAAATAAATTATCAATCTTCACTTATTTGTGCCACCTGACACTTTCTCATTCCAAACTGCCTATTTTACAGTTTCTTTGTACCTTTATGTGATCTTCTGAGTTTAGCACAAATTACATATTTATAGTATAGGTATTGCTAAACCATAATGTAAATTTATAACCTCTTAGCTTCTTACTCTGCTGAAATATAAACAAGAAAGTCAAACCCACATGTCGCACCCCTCCTATCACATCCTGTCTTTAAAAAATATCAATAATTCTCTCTGACATTTTATAGCTTGGTTAGAAAGCCAGTTAAATTATAGAAGTTATAGGAAATTACGTTATATGTTAGTGATAATATTTTGTGTTCTAAGTTGAATACTTTAAATAAAAAATAATTATACTGTACAGCATCAATATCATTACACAGAAAGTACGCTTATAGTAGTTTGTTTTCTGATGGCAAAAACTTCATAAGGACAAGAGTCCATAAAAAACTACTAAATTTCTTGTTGTTTAAGAAAAGTTATTTATTTCTTATAAAAATAACTAAAATGTAACTGATTAGATTAAATAAGAAAACTTAAAAGGAAAAGAAAAACAATTACTTGTGATAGCATGTGTATATCATGAAGCATAATTGTGTAATTAGACAATTCATGCTGTGATCTTGATTGTTTGTTTATACAAAGCTTTTCCACTTTGATAAATGACTTTCAGTATATTCTAAGAGAGTCTAAGTGCAGCTGTAAAGTAATAAAACTAAATAAACCTAGGTTTGAAAAGTCTATTAAGAGTAAATAGCATGTAATTGTTTGTTACAATATGCAGACATTATAGAAAGAAAAAAAAAGTTAATTTAGATTTATTTTGTATTTTTAACATTTCAATTTACCTTACATAACTGATGTTGCTACAGTTAGTGTTAAGGCAGAGAAATAAAAACAGATAAAATACAAAGTTTTGTTGAAAAAACTTTTGTTATTCAATTAGGAGGTTCTATAGGCTCTGCAAATGGAAATATGAAAACTGCTATATGTAAACAAGTATTTTTATTCTTAGCAATGAAAATCATCTAGCATTTACTGACTCAGTAAATTCACAGACAAACCTTTGGTAAAAATACTTTTAAAAAATTATGATTTTTTGTGCACAACATACTTGTAATGTTTACTAAAAGCTTCCCAAATTTAGTAAAGATACACCTAGTCAGTTCCAAATTATAGTAAATATTAATGGGCCAGTCCAGTGCACATAGGGTTAAAAAATATATATACAGATTAACATCAGATAAATCTGCTTGGTTTCTACAACAGACAGTACAAGTAGTTTTTTAGTATGATTGACTAATCATCCTCTAAAATGGAATAGTATTAAACAATTTTAGTGTCTGCATGCTACTGTTTTGTATGAAATATAATTTGCATTCAGAACATGCATACAGAATTAAAATTCAATTGTTTGCTTCCACTAAGCTGACTAATACATCTTACAACAGCTTTGTACCCAGAAAAGAACTCACCTTGGTTTGCTTTTCTTCATTTGTTGATACATGTAATCTAAATTCTAGTAATCTGAAAATTTGAAATAACACAATATATACGTGTATAGTTAAATTACATTTAAAAATCTTAACTGTTAAAAATATTTTACAAGTAAATTCAATACAATTTTCTTACAAAAGTGCAAGCCTTGATTTTTCTATGCTGATTAGCAATTGCTAGCTTTGAACTTAGAAGAATCTTCATAAACTAAAGACTTATGTTTACTACTAATCACCCCTACACAATCACCTGCATAACTTTAATAAGAGTACATTCTTAAACAATATTTGGTGTCCTTAAAATGCAATATTTTCAGGTTTTGAACAAATTAACATGAGTCTGCATCAACAATCGTACAGTGTAGATCTTAAACAAATGTAATAAGCTTCAATGTGTAAATGTTAGCAAAAGACTGTTGATATTCATTACAGAAATGCATCACAAGTTGTTTACAGACAAGAAACCAGATGTCTTACAATGATGATATAATTAAAGTTAAGCTTCAGCTTAAGCTTAAAGATGAAATGCTCAATAGCTGCAGCTGTAATTAGATCTCAAGTTGGTCAAGAGATGGAGCTATGAGCTAAAAGTCTGTACTTGAAAAAACTCATAGCCATTCTATGAACCACTATGGTGCAGCTAAAATATTTTATTAACGTTTTCAGATTAATGGTACTGAAGTTTGGTTTATGTTAAGCTCTTGTTTTAAAGTCTTGATGACTAAAGTTTCTTTCATCTTACGTATCCTCCCACAATCAGCTGAACCAATGATTGAAAACTTTTACTGCGAACATGAATACCAAAGTTCCAGCCACGTGCATGGTCTTGGACAAATGATATCATGTTGATCATTCAGGTGTTTCTTGATGCATGTTTCAAGTGTTTGAATAGTTGAGGACATGAAACTTTGCCCATGACATGGGAACAATCACGTAATGACATACTGTCTATGATGTAAAAGAATCTTGAATTTTTTTTTTTTTGTGGTATAAAAACAATACTCAAATTAATTTATGGATAACCTCCTTTAACTAGTCTTTTAATTTTAACTTTGGTTCATCAAGCTAATAAAACCAAAGCTTAATTTGAATTAAACCACCATTCTCTTAGGACTAAAATGTGAGTCAATCTGCTTTTCAGTGATGATATATATAATTGAACATGTGAATTGTTGGTTTGTTAAAAGAATAAAGTAGAACATCATCAAACATATTTAAACTAAAAATACTACAGTCAACCCAAAAAGTGTAATTAGGCTAATTACATAGTAACATATTAAACTAAAGACCCTATAGTCAGCCCAAATAGTGTTATCAGACCAACTGCATTGTTCCAAACAGCAGATTTAATAGAAAGTGTGTTGCTGGTATCTAAACAGGCTACCAAATAAAGAGCATTTGTATTTATACACATATAATATGCACACTATTCATATAAACAAAAGCTAACAAAGTAAGTGGCATCATTCCCCAGTTTTGGTTGATATGTGTTTAACAAACATACTAATTCTGAAATGTAATATATTTTCATTTTAAATCAAGAACATTATTTTGTTTCTTCCAGTATTAATTACATCTCCCAAATTTTCTCGTGCACTTTACTTTCCAGGCAGTTTATACACATCAATGAAAATTGTCTACCCAGAGACATTGTGACAATCCAAGTTTAACATTGTAAAATATACATTATCAACATACGTACAAATACAACTTTCACTGTACACTCAAACTGTATCATAGCATCACCGTCATTTCATGCTCATGAAGAGTGTAAAAACCAGCCAAGTGAGGAGCAGGAAAAATGTCTCAAACATTATGTGGTTTTAATCAGTTTGCACAATGTCCTTTAGGAAATGTATATCTAATTAGATATATTGATTGCCAGGTTGATTTTTAGTTTTGCTCTAAGTGAATAGATTGCTCTAATCTGTAGTTAATATTAATTTATTATTTCACCCACTGATACAATCTAATGTCAAGAAAAAGAACAGTATTCCTGCTGTAAGGAACATGCTCCCGAACATGCCAAAAATATGCAGTTAAACAGGTAATTTGTTAAGTGCTATTAAACCTGCCATCAAATTATGCAGTTCAAATTTCATTAAAATTGTAGAGATAGAGAGTGGGTTGTCTTAGCAGCATAGGGTCTTTGATTAAACTAAACCTGACAATTAAATTATTTGAATGAATAGTTATAATGTTTTTATAATCAACAATATTTTATAATGAATTCTTAAAGAGGATATTTTATGAATATATATTTATTTCCTATTTATAAAAAATAGTTTTAACTGTAAATTCAGAAAGATAAAGTTCAAAATGGTGAGATGAAACAATAACAAATAAAACAAGGTAAAATTTTTATTGTTTGATGGATTTTGTGGAAAGCTAAATGTGAAAATCAAAATTTTTAAGTATTTATAAGCTATCATAGCAAAAACAAATGTCTTTATAATATTGTATGTATATATCTTACGACCTCTCACACATTAACCTGCCCATGACTTGTTCTATAAATGCTTCCATGAATATTTCCCACAGTTTGTTGAAAAAAATTGCTCAAAATAAATACATATCTTAATTATTTTCAAAAGCAAGTTAAATTATACAGAGTATACAGAATTTCTGCACTAAGCTACACAAGGGCTATTTGAACACAGGCATACCTAATTTGGAAATGATAAACTAAAGAGAAGGCAGCTAGCCAACAGCACCTACCACTGACTCTTGGGCTTTTCTTGTTTGAATAATGGGATTTGATCATCACTTTTGTAACCAAAGGAAATTAACCATGAACTTTCAGATTCAAAGTCCAGGCATACTAGCCACTAGACTTCATCTGATCCTAATTGATATCAATTACAAGTTGAAATAAATCTTTATTTTATCACTCCAAGGGAAAAGAATAAAACTAAAATTATTAAAATAATTAACAAGAAACTTTATGTGTACATGAGAAAACAGTATATCACATCTGTATGACGTCATGTTAGATGAAATTCATGATTATCTTATGATTTATGTTATCCAGCAAAATGTTTCAAAATACCTTGACTGCTTGTTTTCTTCCAAGTCTGGAATCTGGAGTTTAATGTCAAGTGGTGCATGAAACATGCCCTCGGGAGGTAGCCTTCGATACAGTGCACCAAATAAAGGTGCACAAATTGATGACTTTGTTAAAGTTGATTTTCCTGTCTAAAAATAATAATAAAATGAGAACTTCAAAACACTTCACATTATGTTTATCTTTTTGTTTTTTTTGCCAATAAATACATTTCTATGTATGTACAAATCAACAAATATGGCAAGCTTCCCTATAAAAATGTCAGTTATGCAGGTAGATTTCATATAAGAAAGATAAATTTTTCAAATCAATTAAATATCTATGTTAAACCAAGACTATGATTATTCAAAGTGCCTTTCAGTGTTTTTATTTGTGTGCTTTCTACAATCATTATACAATCGGAAGGTATTTATTGTTTAACCAATTAATAAATAATTTTACTCAATTCTAGGGTAAAGTTAATTGTTAACAATATTTCTGATTAAATCAATATTTACAGTGAGTTTAATAACAAAAATAGTTCAGCAATATAAATATATATAAAAATTTAGCTATTTGTTATTATAAGTTGTTTTAAGTTTTGAACAGCAAATTTCTAGGCTAACGTTCAGTGAAATTATGCTAATATTGCCAATGATGGTGAACAAGTCCTGAAATAACCAAGTGGACAATGAATTCATATGATGATGTACTTCCCACCAATTATCCTGAAAATGAATAATCAGGATTGAAACAAGTATTACTATAAACAAACAATACCTGGAAGGAAGAAAATAAAAAAAATGGGTTTATTAGTAATTTGTGTATCTACTAACTAAAGAAATATTTTTGTTTTTGTACTAATCGCAGTGAGTAATTTCACATTCAAAGTAAAGAACTGATAAAAAAAATTGTTAAATTACTAATTTTTATGTAAAGTAAATAGGAAACTCTGGCAATAATTAATGGGATTAACTGCAATACTGACAGTGTTTTTGTGTTAATGCTTTCATGTGACTCTTATTATTGAGGGAACTATAACCAAAAACTTATGGACCCACAAATAATTTGGTGCAAAGTTTACAAAAAAGTGTGTTTGAGAAAGACAATTTTTTTAGTAAATCTTTAAAACTGATTTGACAATATTAGTGGAAGGAGTTGATTTAAGGAAAAAACCTGAAATAAGAAAGGTATGAAATGAAGGCTTGTCTAACAGCCTAGTGTTTATACAAATTCTGAGGAGTATCTAATTATAGGCTTCTAAGCTCAAGGCATGTATACTTTGACTCTGAAGCAAATGGAAAGTAATGATATTAACTCTCTCTATACAGGCTTGGTCATTTTGACCAACCTTGCAACCACCATGTAATTATACTAACTATAACTTTTAACATATTTTTATTCCAAATATTCAATGCAGAACAAAAAATAATAGCACACACAAAGAATACAATGTACTGTAATTATTAAAATTTAATTGGCTTTCTAACTAACCTTTAAGTATATTAAAATAATTCCTCTAACATGTTTAATAGCAGCTTTAAATCTGTAGACTGAATAATTCAAAAGCTGTCACCAGAATAAGTTAGCATTATACATCATTCAGGAAATTAAAATTTTCTCTTTTTACTGGTTATACCTAATTTAATAGCAAATGTCAGAGAATTATTGACATTTTTGAAAGACAGTACGAGATGTGAGGGAATAGCATACAGATGTATCTCTGTAAATAAAAATGAATGGAGACTATAAGTTTTGATTATGTCTCAGTATCATCTATACTATAACTAAATGAGCTTTATTAAAACTTTGAATCTCAAACAGTGGTGGAGGGAATGTTTAACTGAGCAATATGTAACAAAAAAGTGCCATGATACATAAGTGACAACTGATAAATTATTTAAACATTTCCTCTTGAATCTAAGAAATTAAAACTTATATAATATTAAAATCTGATTCATTAATTAAATTTTCATGCCAAATTTGACATAAATATATAATAAAGTTGTTTAATTAAAATTTGAATGCAAGTCTGTGAAATGTCGTGACTTTTACCTACCCGTATTCAGAGAGTTAACTGGAACATGGGTAAGATGCTTTATTAGTTAACAATAAGAAAACATGAGCCTGAATCCAATTAAGATACTAGAACAGTAATAAATCTTAGATTCTGTTTTTCTTTTGTTATCTTACAATTTTTATATCTTATGAAATCCTTTTACTTCTATAGTATTTTGTTAACCTGGATTTATTTAAGATTATCAGCTAAAAAAACAAACCAAAACAACAGTCCCACTTCACAGAAGAATATTAAACTTGGCCAGTTTTGCTCTCAAACAGTGACTAAAGCCTTAGAATAACTAAATAAAATTATGTATGCATATCAAAAACTCACCCCAATACTCAATAATGCATTTCCATTGAGGTCTAAGCCTGGACTGGCTTCAAAAATCTATTCAATTAGAAATAAAAATCTATAACAACTAATCATTGAGTTAAAAGCAGACTATTCATTTCATTCATACATTATTGCTTGATTTTATGAGATTTATTGAAATACTAATGTACAGGGATATATAATACATGAACATTTCTAGGATTTGACAACAGTAATGTTCATAATGTTATTTAATTTTTCTATGTGTGAGAAACCAACAAAAAAATTAATCAATTAAAATAAGTACGGACGCAAATTATGACTTAAAAGAAAACATTATTTATTACTCAACTAAGTATTGCAACGATTTCTGATATGTTAGGCTAAAGTAGGTAACGGGAGCAAATGCAATGAAAACTGTGAGATAAATTTATTACCTTTACAAAAAATATAAGAAGATTTATAGGAAGATTATTTTTTTCTCCTGTTGTTTTTTTCCAAATTTGTTCAGAAAAATCAGTAATCTTAAAGTACTCACACTGGCATCTGGACTAGCAATAGTCTGTACTATTTCTTTTTCAAAAACTTCTCTAGAAACAAATCAAAGAAGTCATCATTAAAAATTCAAAGAAATTAAAACTAATTTTAGTTGTCTTTGTACAAAAGTGATAAAAATTGGTATGAGTAAAAAATAAGATTAAATAAACACCATACAAGCATAAATCAAATTCATACTAAATGAAAATTATGTACCAAATTATCACAATAGCTTCAAAATAATTATTATTGAAAATTATTCAGTACTATTACCTATAGTAGTGCTATAAACTTTTGTTTCCAAATTAAAGTTAACGTAAGCCATCTTTTACATGTAATCATACCTTGGATAATGCATATAGTAATGATTCCACTCAGTTAGCACCCTTGAATCACCATACTGCAATGGCTCATTAGGAAGAATACATATACGTTCCTGAAATCAAAACCAAAAAGTTACAAATGCACATGTACCTTCAGGGCTGGGGGACTTCAAAGAATATGCTTTTGATATGTTTGAAATAATATTTTAACAAAATACTTTAGTTTCTGATTGCAAGTGTGTGAACTAATGGAATTTTATTAAAAATATACTTTACAAAATACAAAAAAAAATTAATTGCATCATGATACTTATGATAATGAAAAAATCTATGATTAAATTGCAAGAAACAGGTTGGTTAATTTGACCAACCTTGGTTAAACATCATTTAACCATAAAACAATATACACTATAACTCTGAATATATTAGGTGTATCATCATGAAACCTGGCAACCTTTATGTTCCCATTGCAAGGATATTGTACTTGAAAAATCATATCTTTTAATAGCTCATTTTTACCACATTTGTCAGATTACAACAGACAATTACAATTATTTATCCTAACAGCTTCTAGCCTTTTCAATACTGCTTTGATTTAATTTTATTGTTCATTGAACCAGGTCTAACTAGTGTAACAAAGCAATAAGTCACCCAGAAAAAGTTTAAGGTAAACAAACTATCAAGTTACATCACATGATGGTAACAAATGAGCTTTTCTTGAAGATAAATCATGGGAATGTTTTATTTCTAATTTTTTTTCCATTTATGTTTTCTTATCTTGTCTAATAACTTTCTATAATATTTACATTTTAGTTGTTTTTTTTAACAAATATATAAAGAAACATGAAATGTAGTATTTATTTCAGCCTTGAGAGCCTTTTGCACTCGGATTAGTAAGCCTATTTTTTCTAAGTTGGTTGTCCAACAAATTATTAATATATCTTTCAAATATGTATTTTAGAACACAAAAAATATCAGGTACTAGAAAAGAATGTCTCAAAAACTACTATAATATAGTTGACTTTCTTCTAACATATAAATATGTAAAAACAAATTCCATTACTACTCAGAGCAGTATTTTTAAGTTGAATGCATCAAGCTCTCCTCACCAACTATCAGCTTTGAATGCTAAAACAAAACAGACAATCATTTGATTTATGTAGTTCAGAATATGTTATCTTTATTGGTTATAAATATGTCAAACAGCAATGTCTGAGAGAATTATGGAAATTTCTTAAATGACACAGGAGGTGAGAGGGGTGTGTTATGTGGGTTGAACAGATATAGTGATATCTCAGTAAAGCAAAATAAGAGTTCATAATTTTGTATTTTAATTTGTCAATATCTGCAGTAAATGTTTGAAATTAACTGAACAATCTGAAGCCCTTCTAATGAAAGAGACAAATTCTGTAAATGAGAAGTCTAAGAGCCACCACATCATGTGACTGAGAGGATTTCTTCAAATATTTCCTTTTGAAATTAAGAAATTTAAACTTAAATAATATGAACATTTGAATTATAAGCTATTCTTCATTGCAATATTCATATCTATTGAATCAACTGATCCTCCACACTTATATGAACCACTGTTAACATGCCTTTTATGTAACACCTTGTCAAATGCTTTCTGAAAATCCAGACATACCAAATCCAAACTGTTATTCTCATCTAAATAAGTAATAACCTCTTCAAAGAATGTGAAAAGGTTAGTTAGGGAAGAGTTTTCCCCTAGTACTAACAAAATTTTGAATTTTGTTTAAAAAAATGTGCATGGGGTCCATTGGATACACACCACACTGGAAAAGGAATGGTGACTATAGCTTTAAATCTACTATTTGTTTCTACATGAAATGTGGCAAGCTTTTAGTAAAATGTACAAGCCTGCTGTATGCAAAAAGGCAGATGTGCTACAAAGGTATTTGTACTGAAAATAATGCCTGTGAATTGCCAATGTCATACTGACTAATACTCTGACAAGTTGGAGTGCAAGGCAATGTTCATGTGAAAAATAAAAATACTTTTGTCCATTGTACAGTTTGCCTATTGCATTTTTAACCAAAAAAATCTTCAAAATGCATATCTATAATTTTTTCAGTATCCCTGTAAACTGTACCTGGTATTTACTCTCCTTAACCACAAACTGTCATTAAATCAGCAATGCAGGATAAAATGACTAGTTGAAAAGAGGTCTGTATGAAAACATAAAGGTTAATCCTATAAATAAACTTTCTCCAATGGTTAAAGAAAAAGTTAAAAAATGTATAACTTTAACATCTTAAGAAAAGCAAAGTTTAGTTCCAAGTAAATTTATTTTACCTAGATTGTATGCTTTGCCTAAAGTTAATAAGATTGGGAACAATTTTAAAACCTATTGTATTTAAGAGTTCAGCATATAATGTAGCAAAATTCAAATAGAAAAAAAAATTCTCATTTTAAAGGGATAAAAATAAATACAAAGTCAACAATGCATTTGAATTTGAGGAAAGAATTGAGCATACAAATTTAGATGAGAAAGATATCTTGGTTTCTTTTGATGCTGTGTCAATGTTCACCACAGTACTTGTGAAAAAAAAGGTATTGCATATTTTGAGAAAAAATTGAAAGAAAATAATAATTTGGTCTTATGGTAATGATTAACCTGGTAGAAGTATGTGTTGAAAACTCATTTTTTGAGATTAACAGTAAAGTTTATAAACAGAATGAAGGTTTAGCTATGTATATGGGTTCTCTTTTATCTCTGTTATCATGCGACTTATTTATGGACAGCTTTGAAACTGAAGTACTGGAAAAAGTGGATAAGAAACTTGAAGTTTGGTTCAGGTATGTTGATGACACATTTTTGATATGGTAGCATGGTAAAGAAGAATTAACCCTTTTTGCTAATTACCTTAATAGCATTGGCAGTTCTATCAGATTTACTTATGAAGTTTTAGTGAGTAACAATAAGGATAATTAGAAACTACTACTTGTCAAAAACCTTTCTCTGTAATCATTCTGCCATATCAAAGATCATGTCACACTAAATCTCAGAAAAACTACTATTTTATACTCTTATGTGGATAGAGTACTAAACATTGTTATAAACAGGAAGACATTAATAATGAGTTATTATTAATTAAGTATATAGCAGTAGAAAGAGGTTTTAATTATGATATTGTTAACAGACCTGTCAAAGAACTAAAAAACAAGGAAGAAAATATTAAGTTAAAACCACTCGCTAAACAAAATAATGTTTGGTCCTGTCATTTATACCTGGTTTATCTTGTCAAGTAATGAAGCAATTTAGTAAACAAATAAATATTTTGCCTTTATGTAAACCGATAAACAAAGTTAGCCAAATTCTTAATAAAACACAACCTGAAAATGTCATTTGTATGAAAAAACGTGAATCTATTGAGATAACCAAATATAACAAAAGTAAATTTACAATAATGAATAAGGATGATATAACTGATGGAAATGTTGTCAGCAGATGGCATGAAATTCTTTAATATGTAAATTGTATTATGGTGATTTTTTCTGTAAGGATATAAATATGTCTGATTCTTGCAAAACGTTGCACTCCTGTAGATGACCCAGTAAACATGTTGAGTATATGAGACTGTTTCCAGTCTCATTGAGTTCTTTTTCTTTTATCCTGTACCATAAGTTATTTGGTATTTTATTGTATTTTTGAGACTGGGAGCAGTCTCATTTTTAGAGTCATGAGTGATGTTTTATATTTAAGCTAGAAGTCCAACCTTCAAACCAGATATTGCTTTATTAGCAGAAACTATATATTACATAAAAAACAAATGTTTCATAAATAAAAGTACACTTGAAACAAACATGCCTTTTATTATTAGTTCTGAGTCCAAAAAGCAGCAATTATGTTCTTCTTCACAATTCCATCTACACACTTTCAGAGAAAGGGGTTTAAAGTATTACGATGCTCCATCATTCCTCCATGGATAACCATTAGCCAATGATCATAAAGTATTTGTTTAAATAAAATTTCAGCAAAAATACAGGACCAATTACAGTAAGCAATATTTACATAGCCAGAGATGGTATCTATGTCATCAACATATCAACTGTGGAAATATTGGCTGTTACATTAATAAAACAACTAAAAATTAAAGGACATGCAATTTTTTTATCCATTAATATGTCTATTAAGATTTAAGAGTGAACAGGTGTCAGAAAGGTTGCTGTTTCTCTCAATTAACTCACAAAGGTAAAACAACCAAATCTGCTGCCCAACTAGTGATATTTACTAGCACCATGTCAGTTTTCAGTATTGGGGGAATAGGGGAAGAGAGCAAGATGTTTAAGTGATGTTTTTTTTTTAACAGATCTGCACAGATGAAATATTTTAGACGTGAAGTATTCCTCAATTTAAAAAGTGGTATGAAACACTAGTGGTGAAATGGCCCCAGCCTCCCTCCAAGTAGTATCCCTTATGAAATTCCTGGATTTATATATATTAAATATAAAATATACATGAAAACAGTTTATCAGTGATTCATTTGTAATAAAAAAACCTGGAATTAATATAATATTGTTCTTTCATGATAAACTGGGATAATCTTTACAACTCAATTTTATTATTACAAACGTCCACATAAAGCATTAATATATACCTATTCAACTGTTATTCCAGCTACAGAACTTCCAAAAAATATTCATTACCTGATTAATAAGTGCAGGGAGACTTTGCTCACAGAAGCTACTTAATGGAGAATACTGACACTTCTCTGGAGATCCAAGAAGAACCAAGAAACGAAGACATGTCCGAATATCATCTACAACAAACATAAAAAAAGCTTAAACCTACAGATTTTGTATTCATTACCTGATTAATAAGTGCAGGGAGACTTTGCTCACTGAAGCTACTTAATGGAGAATACTGACACTTCTCTGGAGATCCAAGAAGAACCAAGAAACGAAGACATGTTCGAATATCATCTACCACAAACATAAAAAAAAAAACTTAAACCTACAGATTTTGACATTTTGAACAATATAATGCTTCACAAGAGCCGTTTTGTCTAAAAAAATATTAATCATAAAAAAAAGGAATAAATCTATAAGCTTTTGACAGGTTGGTGGGTGTACTAGGTCATGCTTCACATGAAGTATTTTGTCTTAAGAATAAAACACCATGAATATACCTGAATGCTTGGGATATGTTGGTGGGGGCACTATGTCACAAAAGACATTTAGCAATTTGTCTAAAAAAAACAAACTAAAAACTTTTAACATGTTGGTGCAAAGTACTATTATGCTTTAGAATGTCCTTTAAATTTTTAACTAGATGCCTTTTTGCTTCATACGTAAGCCATATAACTTAAAAAAGGACATTTCAATTCCAATAGGTGAAGTTACTTTTAATGTCTGAACATTTAGTTTGGTTAAACTTACTGCTAATTTTTCAGAACTCTAAACTTTCAAGTAACAACTAATTCATCTGACTTTCACTCAAGTAGTGCTATAAACGAAAAATAAGTACACAATGGACATGCTTTGAAAAGTATTCCTCAATCATTTCAGATTCCAGCTTACAAAGAAAAATTTACATTTTTTGTTTTAATTTCACCATCACTTACAGAGCAATAGTTACAACTAATATTGTAAGCAATGGGCCTTAAATATGTGAAAAAAGAACATGCATGGTTGAAAGAACATCTTTATGAAGATGGACTAAACAGAATGTTCTGAACAATAAATTTTTCAACATGCAAACCACCACACAAGTGAGTTTTTCCAATTTCAAATGATTAGTACATTATACTACATTACATTATAAACTAACTTTAAATTTTATTATGGATTATGTTATACTTTAGGTTAAAGGTTACCATAAACTTTTTTATAGGAAACTGGTCTTAAAAACAACTGCATATGCCATATCATATACTTCACCAAGTAGTAAAGGTGATAAATAAATAATCATTTTCACATTACCAACTGTTTGCGACTTATTTATTAATATCACCTGGAGCACATTACACTAAAAGAGTCATGTAACAATTTTGCTAACATATGGATTTACAGACAAATAAGTTTCAATCATCAGTAATTACACTGACCAGCTGCTGCTTTTTGATCATATTTATTTGTGCATTTTATTCAGGTACAGTTATGTTTGCTAGAGGACTAAATTTCTGATTGCTTAAATTATGAGAAAAAATATATATCACTGGCAACTTGAACTTCACCACTGATGAAGTTACAGTTATTATGATATTTATGTTACTCTGAAATATCGTTACCATTCCCACATTTTTTTATGATGTAGTAAAATACAAGATTTAAGCCTGCATGATTTTCTGTATTCATTTACATAGCAAATTTAAATAAAGTTTTTTATTTTGTAGTTTCTGTCTTGTCAGTAAATGTGTTTTCTTTAACATGCCTCAGTGCATTAGTTTTAGACTCAGTTTAACACTTACACAGCAGGATAAGAAACATTAGACTATGTATGTGTATTTATTCACAACAGAACAAACCTGTCCTATGATTTATTAGTTATGCAAAGTTCAGGTTGCAAGTTACATTAAGATACTTGTAATTTATGTATTTATTGGCAAAAGTAATGATGTAACGGATCATTTAACTTTTATAGAGATTACAATAAAAATATTTAAAACAGTTCTTTAACAGTGTTATTTATAACCAGAGATGTAGTCAAGCCCAATATATTTTTTATGTGATCAACCTTATTATCGAAATAGCATTTTTGAATACAAAAAAAAAGAGCAACTACAATAATAACCTTACTTTTTGATTTTTTTTATTAACAACAAATGCAAAAATTTGAACAACTGAAAAAATAGTTCTTAAATTCATAAGGAAATATTTAAAAAATGTTCAACCTTCCCTCCCTAGTATGAGAATTGTGACATTCTAGGCATCCCCTCTTCTCTAATTCATTTACCACCCCTCTTAGAAGTTCAAAATTTAACGTAAATCACTTATTATAATAGATGTCACTTGGGCAAAGCATAATTTTATAACCTTTAATCTTATTCATGTAGCAAAAAATTACATACATGGAATACGCCCATTTTCATCTTTCAGTCGTTCCACCAAAACTTCTAATCTGTTAGCTTTATCATACTGCCGGTCCAAACGCAACTTGTATATAGCCATTAGCACAGTGTCAATTTCTGTTAATTCTTGTGGTGACCAACTGTCAGATCCTGCCAAAATAATTGCAAAGGAAACTTGAGATTAAATTTCAGATAAATGTGGACATCATCTGAAAAATTATAATTCAATGACAAGCGAGATATATTTATTTAGAAATTTTACATTTGTAAATGTAATGTGTTTGTGTTTTTCTTTTCAAGAAAACTGAAGTAGACCCTTTACAAACCACATAAAAATAAAACCCTCTCTTGTTTGAAGTACAACTAGAACAGTTAAGTATATGAACATTAATTGTTTTTTTCAGTACTCTGTATTAATAACGTTGTAAAACAAACTCTTAATAATCACTTACCTTAATGCACTCTGTATTCTAAAAAACAGAAACGACTAATACAAACTTACTGAACAGATGAAATCATCCCCAATGATTTTAAAAGTGCTTGTAAATGAAAATATATTTTCATGCAAATGTTTTATAACCTGATAAAGTTCCAATAAATATGCCTTACTAGAAAGAACACAAACATAACACATATGTACATAACCATAATAATTTATACTTGCCTTCATTTCTCAAATTAAGTAGAGTACCATATATCTTCTTCTTCAGCTGCTTCACTACTACTTTTTGCTCAACATTTCTGTTTTGGCACTCGTAAAAAGAGTCATTAAGATTGGACTGGGAATTCTGCATACATGTTTCACAAAGTCTCCTCACAAGAAAGTCTAAACTATCAGACAAAGCCATCTGTAACAAAAAATGTTTCTATTTTACTTCATAAAAAAAAAAATTCACAGTTAAACATACTTCATACTTTTCCTAGTTAAAATTAAGTTCATAATACTTAGTTTAAAATGTGTTTTGCTTACACCTGCATGCAAGTCATTTTATTAGGAGCTTGAACTGTAATATTCATATACATATAGAGGCTTAAATGACTTCGTAATGTTCTGAAACAGGTGAACAGCAAGCTGCCCTGACAAGGGCTTGAACCCAGGACTACTGGCTGACACTAGTGCTTACAGGTGTTTATGTACAAGGTTACAAGCAGTTAGTTCATATTTTCATCACAAGTGTTGATTTTAATGTCTTGATTCATCAACACACAGCGACAGGATTAGATGTAACATGTACTTCATAACCTCATCTTATATTTCAAAAGATACATTACATCTCTTGTCAAAGCAATATCTTTTCTTGTCCAATTGGCCAATTTAAGCTGTACCAATTCCTACTGCCACCTACTCCAAAAAACATATAGAAACTCCTTTACTTAAAGCCAACCCTGATTTCTAATCTCTTAAACTTCTACAATGTTTCAGCTTCTATCACACCTGAAAAACTATTCCATATCTCAAGCACCCTATTAGAAAAATAACAACGGTGTCTTGTTCAAGGGCAGGAAAGTTACACAAAATGAAAATGATTCTTAAGTACATTAATAAAGAAATACAGTATTATGTTAGAAGACAAAAAGAAGAAAAGAAGGATTTTAGCATACCTACTACTGTTTAACTATACTAAAGATATTTTACAAGGGGTGATCCATTCAAAATAACCCATTTTGCTTTAAATACATATATTTTGTATTAACCAATGAAGCATAAAAATCACTTGTTAAAACATTCATTCTTTTCATAGTTCTAATCTGAGTGAATTATTAAAAATTAATAAAGGAACTGATAAGATCAAGTTTGTAGCATTTAATTCTGAAGACATTAGGACAAGAAGTAATAAATTTAAAATTTGGAAAGGTCAGACATGTTTTCAGTTGAGGCAGTTTTATTTCTCAAGTTGTGTACAAGAGTGATAAAGGCTGCAACTTTACAAGAGTTAAAGAAAAGGATTGATAAATAGTTGAAGAATTAGGAAAGCATTCGGTGATAATTTATTCTTTACGTTGAAGATTGGGAGTCACAATATCCTTGAAACACCTAAATGTTCTTTAATATCCCACAATATATACCAGAGATTGAGTTTATAAAAATGCAATAATTAAGACCTCCTCTTCAGAATACAAACATGTTTTTAAATTTTTTTGTTTACAATTTTATTTCTCATCATCTATACATTAGATTGTCCTGTGTATCCATTCAGAATAAAAGTGGTTACAGAAAGCCTATTTTATTTATGTATTTGCTACTACCAAGTTTCCAGTGTAGCATATATGAATAGTGCTACTTAGATCTAATGCTCCATTTTCTCTTGGTTTGTATGCCACTACAGTAAGACTAAGTTTATTTCACTTTAATATTTTTTAATTTGAAAATAAATTGTATGTGGAACTATAATATCTAAGCAAAGATAGTACTCAATTTATATATATATATATTTTAGATACCCAAAAATTGTACCTTGCAGTTGTTCTTCTGCATAAAAGGGATGGGCCCCTGTCCTAAAAAGTTTAATAACCCCTGCCATAATGGTTGAGATATTGAGAAAACCAACATCCTACCCGAGTATGGCAACTGTGATGTCAGCTCTCATCTAATTATTCCAAATTTCCAGTGTTAAAAAGCATTAAGTCTAATACTGTTTTATATTGCAAGCTTGTAACAGAAACTGAGAAATACTTGATGCCTGCTGCAATAAACTGAAAGAATAAATAGGTATTACATGACACAAATATTAAGTGTAAAACTTCACACCCTGCTCCAAAACTGAAGTCCTGTTGATGGAAAAGTTAACCAAGGCTATGAAAGCTAAATAAAAAGAACTATACATGAATTAATTCTAACTTGTTAGGTTTGGATAAATGGGCTGTAACTAGAGAGAAATGAATTCTGATTTGAGAACAGTGCAGACTAAAATATTGGTGATAAGAGACACTTACACTGTTAAATTTCTGGTAAGTTTGTTTCCAAATTAATAATGTAAAATCATATTGCAGTACATATTATTGCAAAAATCATATATTTGATCTAACTGTATATAATTTGAATTTGTAAGACCTGTATTAGATTTCTAACTAGTATTAACGTTAATGTTATATATCAATTAATACCAATTATATCCAATAAAAGTTATCTAAGCAGTCTCTGTTTTTAGTTCTGTACGAAAAATTAGAGCTTCATCTAACACACACACTTAAGAAAATTCCATTTCATTTCTGTCTTGCATCTTAAAGTTAAACTAAAAATTTAAAGATGAAAGTTTTGAGTCTGGAGTTTTGAGTAGTGTTATAGCTATTAGTATTACTAGTAATAGTATTTAGTATCATTTACTCAGTTTACTGTCACAGTGTCAGTATCACTAAACGCTACTGTACTGGTACTACTACCTACCTTTACTGTCTTATCTTTGCATTTCACATATTGTTATTTTTTTTCCAGCAAATCTAACAACTTTTATTCAGCATCACTAAAAATTACTAACTTTATTAATAAAAATAATAATGCTACCATACTCCTATACAGATATAGGCCTAACATCAATACATAACTGTCACTGCGCCAGTGACAACACGAAACAAATCGTCGGGCGAGTCTCGTTTACCGGCTCAGCTAAATTGTTGTTCGCGGATTGGGTATGGTAACAAACAAGCGCTCGACTCAATATTTTTTTGTAATTCCAACGCAGTGCATAAAAATCCAGAGAAAAGCATTTAAAATCAGCTATTAATCGTGAAATACGCCATTAAACTACCATAGTTTATCCGAAACATTTTTTAAACCTCGAACATTTTCCCTGTTTATTTTTGTATCATGATACACGTAAAACACGATTTATAAAATCATACATACTATAGTTTGCTATTTGGCAAGTCTGTGGGCTTACAACCCAAAAACTTTGGTTTCGATACCCTAGGTGGGCACAGCACAAATATTACATTGCGTAACTTTGTGCTTAGATTAATAAACAAAATATATATAAAATAATTTTCTAAGATTAACATTCTAATAGAAAGTTAAGAAGCTTATTTTCTAAAACTAATACAACCGTCGATTTATTGAAAGACTTATAGTGCTTTTTAGCGCAAAGCTACACAATGTGTTATCTGCGATCTGTCATCCGCAAGTAATCGAACACTGGATTTTAATGTGGCAACTTGCTAATCCGTGAACTTTCCGCTGACCCGGAGTGGGAACGTACTCAAAGACAAAAAATACCAGGTGTAAACTAGCATATTCTAGTATCTCTGCTCTGCTCTAGTTGAATTTTAAGAATTAAAACATTTATTGGTTGCAATTTTCGTAGACTTATGTTTTATGGAAGACCAATCAATCCACAACTAGTAACTTAAAAATCCTTTGGTCCGTTTTAACTTACTTAGAACGCCACCGCGTCTTTTCACGTCTACTATTACATATATTTTTGTGGTCTTTTTTTTTTTAATTTTATTCATATAATGTATTACCAACAGGTGGCGAAAAGCAGTAAGAAGCATCAGAAACGGCATGTGTATTTGAATGGTGATTAAATTATCAGGCTTTTATTTAATTAATGTGTGAATCTTGTGAATTAGCTAAAAGTAAACAGGACTTTTTGCTATTTACTTCTGATTTTTTAAAGAAAGAGTGTACCTTATGAAAGCGCTCGGGATTTCTCTCTCTTTTTTTTAATTATTACCTTACTTTTACAGTTTTATAACCTTGGGTGTGTTTTTCTTAATTAAAATTTAAAGTTACAGCAAATTATTATAAAATTACATTCATCAAGCTTAACCATTTATTATTTGAACTTTTTTGCCATTTGCTGGGTTTATGAAACACTTGATATCTGAACTATTAATATTATAACCCAAGGCTAGCCTTTAGTTTAAGCCTAGATTGGAAACATTAGTGTCCGAAGGACTAAATTTTAACAAAGCTAGTTTGAACTTTATCATTGTGTCACGACTTCTCACAGTCGTAGTATTTTATTGCGTACAATGATATGTTAGTTAAGTCGTAATTTGCATGTGTGATATTAAAAGTTTATAATATTTAAATTTTTACGTCATTAGACATTTTAGTTTTAGTCGTCCCAAAGTAATTCAGTTTAGAAGGTAAAATTTTACCAAAGAAAAATAACCGTAAGTTATAATGGCTGGAGACGGCTTGAATGGGTAATGAAGAAAAACTTTAAAACCTTGTCGAAATGTTGTACATTTGCTGTTATGTTAAACTTATATTAAAGTTTTTCTTCATTACCCTATTACTAAGACCGTCTCCAGCCATTATTAGTGTTCAATAGATGTTC